GAATTGCAAATTGTCAGCCCCACTCAAGACCTCCTGACCCAGATTCTTCATTTTAACAAGATCCCAAGTGATTCAAAAGCACAGTAAGGTTTGAGAAACACTATTCTAGAAGTTGCATGCCCCTCATTTTTGCCTGCTAATATACCATACAACTGTGATCTTACCTCTCTTAGAACACTTATCACATTGAATTACATAGTAATTTGTGGAGTATACATACAGCAAATGTATTTCACAGTGCCTGGTTTTCCAAAGCCTTGCAATTTCCGGTTTGGCCTAGCTTCTTAGAAGTACATATAAAATGTTGACCTTGCAAGGGACAGGAAACTTTCCCCAGGCTAGTCTCTATTGTAAGATAAAGAATTGTAGCACAGCAAGGTTGCTGGCTCAAAGGACAGACAGGTTACTGATTGATATGTAAAGATACTGGGAAATTGCTGTAAGAAGAGAATGTTTGCTAAGATCAAGCTTTTGTTGGTGGATCAATTTCTTGAAAATTGCATTATGGAACGTCACCTTGCTTGTCTTACTGAATGTTACCAGCTTCTATTGTTTAACCTGTTAAACTATACTTAGCAAAAACCCCACCTATGTTCTCTTCCTTTAACTTCCTGGTCTGGAGAATAAAGGTGAGAAGAGAACCCCAATTCGAAGTTAATTTCCCCAATGGAAGGAATGCCTCTATCTTGAGGGTTCCAGGAGATTAACCCCTTTTTGGGGCTTCTCACTGCTCAGAAGAGATGGGCTTTGAGTAATCTTTGGTGGCTTCATCACCCAGGGGAAAGGGGTGACAAATCCATGGGAGGCAAAGCAACAGTTATTAATACTTTTTGACCATTCTTCTAGGTCAGCCATCATGTCTTTCTCATTTCTGCATTCTTGTCATGTGGAGCATATTGGGTGCTCAATTCATGTTGGACAAATGAACATGTAGACTCACCTATGGCAAAATTAGTTGCTCAGATCTAAATGCAGGTTTCTCAGACTTTCAATTGGCTTATGCATCCTGACACATTCAAAGTCAGAAGGTGAGTAGAAGTCAGGGCAGTGACCAGCTTTCCAGGGCTACCAACAGGAAAGAATTGGGTGTTGGACCTAGCAGCCAGACAGGAGTAGTGTGACGGGAAATTCACAAGGGATGGATTTTGTGTCAAGATAGGTGAATGGATATAGGGGGAGGGTAGAGTCACTTAAGGAGATCATATATTTCAGGGGTTCTGAATATGTTTTCTGTCCCAACTCCCCCAAGAGATTAGGCAGATTTCCAGCAGTATGAGAGGCTAACTGTAACAGAGGTTTTCACTAGGACTTCTCCCTCAACCATATAATTCTGCTTCAACCCATACCCCATCTTTCTTGTTAGACTCACTAAAATAAGTGGCAGGCTCAATGTCTGGTGTTTTGGATAGGACAGGAGGGCACTGAGAATTAACAGGTACCAAGTGCACATATTGAGTGTGGAATCAAGTTTTTGGAATAGGTGGGTAGCTTTAGATGCCAAACCTGGCAGGTTAGGTTTAGGTGTCTAAGAATCTTAATCAGCATACAGTAGGAGATAGCAGGTAATAAGAGGCCCCACCAGAGTGAGGGTTGGTCCAAATCCACGAGGCCCAAGCCCAGAACACCTGGACAATACTTGTTCTGCTTCTTTCTCTGTAAACCAAGTTTCTTTGGGGCTGGGCACTGTTAACTAAGGTCTTAATGATGGCTAAAGGTAGATAGAAGGTTTGGGGCCACCACAGATGGAAGTTTTAGTGCCTATCCAGAATCCAGAAGGTGGAGATAGAATAATATCCATTCTATGATTAAGAAGAAAACATTTTTCTCCTTTACTGTGGTTGGTTTTTAGGGATGGTAATCACAAACCTGGAATGGGGTAGGGGATCATATTTAGAGAAGGGGAAAGGGTTACAAAGCTAGTCAAGGCTTTTGGTCTAAGGCAGGGAATTTAAAATAGAATGCCCAGGGAAGCCAGGTACAAAACCAAACCTGGGGTGGAGGCAACAGCAGCATAATGAAACGCAAGTGCTCTGTTTGAAGGGCCAGCACCAACTGATAGTGTCGATTTAAAATAGAATGCCCAGGGAAGCCAGGTACAAAACCAAACCTGGGGTGGAGGCAACAGCGGCATAATGAAACTCAAGTGCTCTGTTTGAAGGGCCAGCACCAACTGATAGTGTCACGTGGGAATCTGGACTCGATTTCTCAAATATAGAAACCAAATCTACATTTTTAAATGAAATATCTCTACTTTTAAACCCTGGCAATTAATTTCAAAGGCATATGAAAAGTATATTGATGCTGTAGGGCAAGAGTCAGTTTGATGGTTGCCAGTTGGTGACATCTGGTCTCTGGAAACTTTTTGGCTATAGGGATTTCAGGACTTCTGTCTCCTGGGTGCTTTGGCGTCTGTCTCTTTGTGTTCTTTTAAGAACCAAAAAGACTTGGATAGAAACCAAGAAAGGCAAACAAGAAGCCGGTTAGTTAGTGCTTGTCGTTTAAATAAAATCAATCATCTCTAAACATCTTCTAACTCACCAAAATAAAAAACAACCAAACACAGGGGAAATCAAATGAAAGGCAAAATCAACATCCAAAAACCTCAGCTTCTTCCTCAGTGTTTCCATGGATAGCAGAAATCACCTAATTAGTTATTCAACTAAGAAATCTGGTTCTCTTTTTCCACTCTTTTCCTCCCTGACATCCTATGACTATTCATGTCCAATAGAGTTCACCCCCTCGACACCCCCAACTCATCTCCTTCCCTCTCCAACCCTATCGCCATCAACCTCTATCAGGTTCTATCATATTTTGCCTGGATTATTCCAGAGGTCTCCTTATTGGTATCTCTAACTGACTTCATGATAAAATAAAACAAACAGGCTCTATAAATTTTCTTCTAGTACTAGGTCTGCAGCTGGAGTCTGTGGCTGAATACACAAGGATGGTTGAGGGCTGAGGTTTTTCTCACCTGGGGTGCATGAGACAGGAGACCAGAATAATTTTTAGTAGTGGCTGGATCTGCTGGAGTAATTTCCAGTTCCAAAATTAGAACAGAATATCATACAGGTCAACACAGTCTGGGAAGTCTTGTCTCCCCCTTCCAGTTCTTATGGGCTATCTCTGGCTATATATTCATATATTTATAAAAACAGGGCCTTGAATTTAGGTGAGTTTCTGAAAAATGTACAAAAATGAGATGAACTGGATTAAGCAATGATTGTTTTATACCATCTATCTTGCCAATACCAATGGTCTATTAGAAACTTTAATGTCCATTGGTTAAGTGGCTTTGATCAAATAATTAATTTTAGATAAAACATGCAACACAAAACATTGGGATACAGATATCTTTCCTCAAAGTTAGGCAATCCTCTGGCCCAAAGTGTTGACCTGGGGAGCATGTCTTAGAGACCTTCCAGGTCTGATTTAGACACATCCCAGAAGGATCACAGTCACTGACCAATTTTTCTAATGCTAACTTGGGGAATGAATGATTATAAAATAATTAATTCAGGTCTATCAGTGGCTGTTAAGGAAAATAAGGGATCACATTGGTAAATGTCTACTAGCTTGGTTTTAGCTGCAAGGCCCTATATTTAGACTGTCTGGGTGAGAGTTAAAAGGTTATATCAGTTACTAGCTATGAGATCTCAGATAAGCTACTTATCCATAATAAGTGCTAATTCCCTCATTTGTACAAAGGGAAAAATATCATCACCTACCCCATATTTTGTGGTGAGGATTAAATAAGAAAGCTCCTAAATCTCTTAGCAAAATAGCTGGCATATAATAAGCAATGGTGAGATGTGACATTATACTTATTCCTCAATGAAAGTCTATCCCCATCTCTCCTTGTATCAATATAAAATCATTTTAATCATGCTCCTAACAATCAAAATCCAAATATTTGGAGGAATCTCAGAAGGACAAATACTCTTAATAACTTTTGAATCTATAATATATTCTCATGGCTCAAAATTCAAAAAGCAAAAAAGAGCTGAAAGCCTTTAAATGACTGATCTTTCTCAGCCACAAAGTTTTCTTCCCACAGATACCAATGTTACCAGTTTTTCAAATACCTTAGAGAAAATTGATGCATTTACAAGCACAAGCAAAAGGTATTTTTCTCAACTGCATTTAAGTGTTTTTAAATCTGAATCTTTATCATAGTGATATGAAGAAGTATTTTTCACAAGAACCGGAGGCTCTGCCACTTAAGTCTACTGTTATTTTTCCAAGACCATATCTAAAAGTTGTCTTGCATCTAGGCTCTAGCACTGTGAGACACATCTTATGGATCTAATATTTGTGCCAAATATTATCTTGTTGCATACTGAATTTGTACCACTGTTCAACATGGTTAGACCCAGATGATAAAGAACTTGCTGTGCTTAATCAAATTGACTGGGTACTTGAGTATCCTGATGCAAATATATTTTCCTTATAAAAACTATTCTGCCCTTGGCAAGGCACAGGAAGTCTGAAATTAGCTCTGTTCTTTTCAATGAGTTTCAAAAAGTAGTCCCTGAGGTAAGACAACAAAATCCCGTGGTAGAACTGCAGTTTTGAAAGGAGTTTTTAGGAAGATTCTTCTTTCTTCTCTATTTATTCCTCCCAGACTGAATATAATGTTTCCAAACTATAATGGGGTGTATTAGTCTGTTTCTATTGCTTATAACAAAATACCTGGAACTGACTAATTTATAAGAAAACAAAATTCATTGCTTACAGTTTCCGAAGCTGAAAAGTCCAAAGTCCAGGGAACACATCTGCTGAGGGTCTTGGTGGTGACTTCAGTGATGCAGGGTATCACATTGTGAAATGGCAGAAGAGGAGAAAGAGAGAGAGGGAGGGAGGGAAGGAGGGAGGGAGAGAGAGAGAGAGAGAGACTCTCTCTTCTTTTAAAGCTTTCAGAACCACGCCCCTGACCACCATTTTAAATACATCCTCTATGACATTATTACTGTGATCAGTCTTTTCTCTTTTACTTTACTTAGATGTGAGATCTGTGGATTTACTTGTCGACAAAAGGCATCTCTTAATTGGCACATGAAGAAGCATGATGCAGACTCCTTCTATCAGTTTTCTTGCAATATCTGTGGCAAAAAATTTGAGAAGAAGGACAGCGTAGTGGCACACAAAGCAAAAAGCCACCCTGAGGTGCTGATTGCAGAAGCTCTGGCTGCCAATGCAGGCGCCCTCATCACCAGCACGGATATCTTGGGCACTAACCCAGAGTCCCTGACACAACCTGCAGATGGTCAGGGTCTTCCTCTTCTTCCTGAGCCTTTAGGAAACTCAACCTCTGGAGAGTGCCTACTGCTAGAAGCTGAAGGGATGTCAAAGTCATATTGCAGTGGGACAGAACGGGTGAGCCTGATGGCTGATGGAAAGATCTTTGTGGGAAGCGGCAGCAGTGGGGGCACTGAAGGGCTGGTCATGAACTCAGATATACTCGGTGCTACCACAGAGGTTCTGATTGAAGATTCAGACTCTACTGGACCTTAGTCAAGGGAAGACTTTGGGCACTGGGACAGCTCAGACTTTGTATTTAAATGATAAAAAGGACAAAAAAAAATTTAAAGCATTTAAAATCTAGTAAAATAACTGAAGGGCCTGCTCTTTCCATTGTGAATCACAGCACACACACACATATACCCCATTCCCATCCCCTGTTCTCCCTCTGTTGTCCCCCTTATAAAATTGATGTTGTCTTTACCAGAAAGGTAGACAAAAAAGAAGCAGGAGCAGCTCTTAAATGAGTGTCATCCTCATACCAGTTCCAGCCAGTGTCAGACTTCTGCTCATCGGCACATCCCCTTTTCAACCTGTAACTGATGTGCTCTGGATCAGCTTTTCACTCTCAATAGTATATACTGTCTTCTAAATCCCTTCTCTTAATCTACTGCTGCCCATGGTTCTGGCTTCTATCCACTATGGCACATTTATCCTCAAATATTATAAAATTCTAAATCTCTGGAGGCTGGCAGCTTGACTTGGCACTTTAGGGCCCCTTAGCAGGGTGAGCTGTTAAAACAGCACATATCTCTCACCCCCTCTTCCTCCATTCCCCACTGGGTTTTGGAAAGGAAGGATACATGGTGACCACCTCCCTCTTCTTTGATTCCAGCACCTCAGTCCCCCTCCCAAAACCTCTATATGGCTCTCAGTGGTGCTCACTTGGCTTGGAAGCAGGCTCCCAAGAGGGAGGGGGTTGCCTTCTACACAGTCTCTTTGACTGCAAGACAGGGCTCTGTATCAGTGAGACAGAAAAGTCCAAGGCTAATGGCAGAAATTTGCACTTTGAACATGTGTGTTTTTGTGTTGTGGAACCTGAGATTCCTTATTTATTAACGGAAAGTCTGATTTCTTTTTCCTTTTTTTTGTTGGGGGTGGGTGGGTTTTGTTGCTGTATTTTGTGGGCCTGGGAGAGATTAGATTATTCTGAAAGGGGATCCTTTCCATGAGAGGTACTTTGAAGGCAAGACATAGGGTTGAAGAAGCACAGCCAGCCTCTAAAATCATAGCTCTCCAGTGGCCTTTAAAGAAAGCTGGTCCTCAGCACTAACAAAATCACTACAATATCCTAGTGTGTTTTTTGTTTTTTTTTTTTTTTTTTTTTTTTGGAAGCCTTTTTATGACTGATTCAATTTCCTCACTCATCATTGGTCTGTTCAGATTTTCTTTTTATTTATAATTTAATCTTTCTACCTTAACCTTTTTAATTCGAATGTAGTAAAACAATTTTCAAGTTTAACCTGTTGGAGTCCACCTTGTCATAAATGTTGCAGCACTGTTCACAGATTTGCTAAAGTTGCTCCTTGCACTATGAGAATCTTGATAACATTTCTTGTTCACATATGGCTCAGGGTAGAGCTAAAATACTGGACTTTTTCTTCATTTCTTTACTTTTTTCTAAAATTCAACAAGAGGAACTGACAGCAACAGTAGGAAGAAAGGAGTTCCTGTTTTCTTTTTACTTCCTTTTCTTTTAAAGTTCTCACCTCCTATTCACAAGCAGACTGGATGCATAACTTTAAATCCATTGCAATTTATATGAATTTTTAAAGCAATAACTTCCACAACAGAGGGAAGGAAACTTGGTCAAGTTCACATAATTTGGCATAGATTTAGGAACAGTTTCCTGTCTCTTTCACATAATTTGGCATAGCTTTAGGAACAGTTTCCTGTCTCCCCAATGTGTTGTCAACTCTAGACCCTAAAGGAAGGTGTGAGGTTACTTTTATCATTTAATAAAACCTTGGAAAAAAATGGCATTCAATATGATACTGCAGAGTGATCTATCAGCTAAAAATGAATTAAGTCATATGACCATGTATTAAAATATCCAGCACTGCACTAGATCACCTTCTTAAGCCTTTGACAATGAAAAAACTTTGAAGATGAGAAAACTAAGAGAGGTTATGTGACTCGCTTGTAATTACACAACAAAAGAGAGGAAAAGCTAGGACTAAAATGCAAATACCTTGAAAATGCAGTTTGCTGTGTGGGAACATCACGGACTAGATATACCGATAACCTCCACACTTTAAACACCAGAAATGCTGATTAAAATGCAGCAAACACTATTTAAAATGCATGGCTGAGCTTGCAAAGAGAATCTGAATAAATTATGAAAAC